TACTGTAATACTCAATTCTTTTTTAAAATATTTATTTATATACAGTAGCAAAAATATTGTAACACATGATGAAGATATACTAAAAATACCATGAACGATTGCACAAAATATACATGTATAGTTAGCTTTCTACCTCAACATGTCTTTTCCAAAGAAAATGCAGCTTTTTCATGCATTTTCCTCTTTAGGAGTTCATGTAGCACTTCAAATTATGTTTTAATGGAGGCAAAGTATAGAAACTGTCATTTACTTTTGCATAAATTCTTGTAAATATAAAATAATGTAAAAATGGTTTATAAGAAACCATTTTACTACATGGAGTCATAGTAATAAAAAGTAGTAATAATAGTAATAAAAAGTAAGCTAGAAAAGATTAGAACTAGAAAAATAAGAGATACCACTATGTTATAGGTTTCAAAATTTTAATAAAATATCACAAACATTACAATGCAGAATAGGATTACTCTTGAGGAATAATCAGTGATGCCAGTGGAAGTTCTAATAAACTGCAAAGTTTTGATATAACCCCAGAACAAGGCATGTGTTAGATAGTTAATGTTGGCTAATTACATAAATGACATGAAAGTGTATAGCATTTGCAATGTCTGGCATGAATAACATCTGGAAGAGTAAAGCGATCACACCCACAACCAAATATAGATTAGTTAATGCCATGATTTTTTCTGATTGCTACTTATGGCTGTGAAACTTGGCAGATAGGAGAAGGGTGGAAGCCTTTGAACTATGGTGCTGGAGGCAACTATTACACATACCATGGACTGCAAAAATAACAAAGAAGTCCTAATCTGAATCTCACTTAAAATATCACTTGAAGCTAAGATCTCCAAACAGAGGGCGTCATGAGAGCTGACTCACTTGAAAAGTCAAATCATGCTGGGAGTGATCAGCAGAAAAATGAAAAGGGGCCATACTAGTATCAGTTGGCTAGACACTATAAAGAATGACACTGGGACCACCATGGCAGATCTGCAGGAGGCGATGCAAAACAGAGGAACATGGAGAATTCTGATCTATAGAGTGGCCAAGCTTTAGACATGACTAAATGGTTGCTGCTGATGAATTACATACATACTTTACATGTCTTGAGTACATTTCTGTAAAGTGAATTAAGTGTTCTATATGTGTCAAAAATTATGCTCCTTTTTTACATACAGTATGCATATATATAAATTGAGAATAGATTTATATATAAATCTGATCATGAGAAAGAACAAAAACTTGGTTTGTACATAATCACAACATTTTTAATTCCACTGGCATGAACAGTCTGTAGGTTCCTGCATAACATACAGAATTTCAGTGCCATTTCCAGAGCAGTAAAGTGGCACAGTTCGATTCTGGACTCCATTTTCACGGCAGCATTTGCAGAACCTTAAATGGCTATCGATGTTGACATTAAAAATTGTAGCAGAGGGGCACTTTCCATCACAAGAAGCCACACTTATCTGTTGGAGACAGGAAGATGAAGGATGTCATTAATAGTTTCAAATTTTATCATTCAATTTTATTGACAACTTCAGTCATTAAATCTATTTTAAAAGTTTGGAAATTCAGTATCTTGCTCATACTGAATAGTCTATTCACTATCAGCAGCTTATTTCCTCTGCTATTTTCCTTTTTATGATACTTTGCCATTTAATTCTTGAAACAAGGACATCTGTGCACTACTATGTAATACTTGCAAATATTACTTTAATATACAGTACATATCAGTGTGCTGCCTAAATACATCCTTGCTGACATGGAAGGAAAGAAAGGAATATTAATAAATTACAGGACATCTCCAGTTCAAGGCAGCAAGCTTAAGATTCCTGCATACACATATTCATGGACATGTTAGATGAGGTGAAATGCCAACAAAAATACTTATTCTTGCACATGCATATATCCCTCTAGATGGGAAATTGTGTCCCTCTTGGTTCTATTATACCTCTTAGTGGTATCCAGTACAGTGGTGGGATACGATGGGGGCATACCAGTGCCTGCTGGGAGCACCAGGTATCGTTCTGGTAATAGCAATAGCAATATAGCAATAGCAGTAGACTTATATACCGCTTCATAGGCCTTTCAGGCCTCTCTAAGCGGTTTACAGAGAGTCAGCATA